TTTCCCTACCCTGATGGGTTTTATGATTTTGGAGTGTAGCACACTCAGTGGAAATCCAAATATCTGCTAAGCCAGAATGGTTTTATTAGCTCTGTTTTCATGAACTCCTTTCAAATAGTTTAGACATGTAAAGCGAGCATTGCTCAGTTTAGTTGGGTTTTTATTTGCACAGTATTGTAACATGCACTTTTTATTATCTACACAGAATTACTTATTGGAATGCAGTTTTGCTCTGCCTTCACTTGTGCCCTCCTCTTTAACCACAAGTACATATTTTATCTGTTAGATACTGGCTGGCTTAGCCTCTATTCCTGGTTTCAGATTTGGTTTGTCCTTCCCCTACTGCCTCTCTCCTGTATTGGGCTTGGATTGAAATTAAAAAGCTTATTTTGGGAGCTTCACCTACAGTTTGTTTTCTTAAGCTTTCATTAAAGTTTGCTCTTTGATTTATTTCTGAAGATATTTTATGCTTCCTTCATGGAGCTGACATAGAGAAGTGGATGCTTGGATCTTTAGTAATACTGAAGATTTGACTATTAGCCTCTTGCTATTAGATTGACATTCCCAGTTTAGACGCTGTTGATTTGCATAACTACTGATCCAACTGATGGGAATTGTGTGTTCTTATACTAGCATAAAGTCGTATTTCAATGTAAAATTGTCATCCACAGTTCTACTTGCATTTGATTGCTGAGGCAATACAGTAACAAAGACATTCCTCAGTATTATTTGTATGCCTAAAATTCATCCTATTATCCTATTTGGATAATAAATAGCTGGCCACTCGGGAAGAACACTGAAGACACTAGATGTACAGGGGAGTGTGAACTCTCATCCTGCCTACTCGTTAGACTGTCTCAACCCACAATGGGGATCTAATAATTAAAAGTAGCTGTCACTCAGTATTAGGAACTCTGATATCTAAATACGCAAGAATCTAGAAAAGCAACACCTGCCCCCCAACTTTCTAGGAAATAACAGGAAATAGTATTATTTCATTAAAAATTCCATTAAGAACAGCTGCTTAGAACCAGCAATTCAGACTAATGACATCTAAAATTATTTTTGCAGATCTGCCCACTACTGTTACAAAAATCTTGCTTTAGAGCTTTGCTTGTTCCGCTTCTACACTCAATAAGGTTTCTATAATTTAACAACGTCCTTCCAAATTCTGAAATATTTTAATTTTGAATTGATTGTTCTATGCATATTGCTCTTCCCATGCAAGTAAAAAAATCTTACCTCTTTTTAGAGTTGTAGATGCTTGATTTCACATTCTCTTTAATACAGACCAGTGGAAGTCCTTTCATGTCCCCCTTGGAATATAAATTGTATTTTTTTCCTTCAAAATATTTTTGCACACACATATATTGTTGATCAAGATATCTGATTGATTATATGAAAGAGTAAAGTGCATCAAAGCATTCTTAATTATTTAGTTGCAAATTTTACAATATAGCCTGTAATACGAAATAAAAAGCACAGTTGGTGTTTCCACTTTCATACTAATAACCTTCAATAGACATGATTTTATATTAGTCTTTAGGAATGCTAACCAGAAATAAACTAAAAGGTGAACATATTGGCATGTGAGTAGTTGCTGCAGTCCTTTAAAGATAGTCCTTATCCTTGGGCAATGTACAGGATCACAAATGTTTTTAATTAGTTATTAATTGTACTTGCTTTGCTAGTTTCAGTCTAGAAACAGCAATACACCAGGTCATGAAACACCAAGTATAACTCTTCCTGTTTCAAATGACATGTATAAATGTAAATGACATGTACGAGAAAATGGCTGTAGCCTTTCTTTCATAAAAGTGCTTTCTCTTAACTGCTTTCCCCCCTTTTAAGAACTCTGTTGTTAAAGCTGAATTGTAGTTCCTTTCTATAGGCAGATGATTAAACATTCTCACCATTATATAATACAATTTCCATTTTATTTTAAACATACTTTGCATGATATAAAAATATTGATCACAGTGAGCTTTAACAATTGTTACTGCTATAAACAGAAATGCTGCACAATGGTTTTAGTGGAAATAAATTATATAGTCATTATCTCTTTAAAAAAAAAAAAAATCACAAGAAGGAGAACCTAGGCTGTTTGGTCATTGGCAGAAAATAAGTCCTTACTGAGTTCTTTACAAAACATGAACCCCAGTTATTTTCTACGTTTGCTTTCCACATCTTGAGAAAAGCACAATGCATCCGTCTCTGAAAGCCCCACAGGGTCTCTGGTGAACATTTAATTCCAAATATTAGCAAAGTTTCTGTTGTTCTTTTGTTCTAATGGAAAAATGTACACCAAAATAGCAAGTAGTGCTCTCTTCGCTAATTCATAAGTGGTCTTTTCCAATATGTGGGTACACAGCGGCACACTTCTTCACTAAAATAAAATCCAGCATCACAGCGTTTCGTTCGGACTGTACACGGTGGTCTGTAACAACTACAGAAATGAAAAAAAGTGAGCGTTAATGTAACATGATGATTTATACTAACCTGGAGTAGAAATCTGTGTACATTTAGATTGCCATTTCTCAGTGGGACATTTAATTCCTGCAAATACCTATCTTTTAACTTCTGTTTATGTTCTTGCAACTACTTTGAATTGGATTATTCTTCACAAAAGACAATGAACGAATAACGAATGCTATCGGAGAGAAATGATTCCATTGCAACAGATACTTATGAATATTTTTAAACATATTGCCTGGTTCTAGTCACATTCTAATCTTGAGTAGTACTTTTTTAAAATTTAATTTTGAAAATACAGTAATATTTTTCTCAACTTAAATTGCCTTGTTATGCATGCTGCCAGTTTGAGGTAGCAATCCAGAATCAGGTGATGATCAAATTTACCATCTTCTTACCCAGGAACGTTTCTCATCTTATTTGCTACTGCAATAAGCCTGAGAGAGATTTGTCTATGTATGTTACGCTGTGACTCTGAGCTTGAAAATGAGAACATACTTTCTTCAAGTTGCAAACTCCTATAGCTGCTCTCTGTGGCCAGTGGGGACATATCTACACTTCACATTGCATCTATCTAGGCAATAGATCAGAGCCTGCATGTTTATGATAAATCTTAAAGGAAAAAGAACAGAAATAGTCTCTGTTTGATTAAAATAAGTTTAACAGAAACAGAGCATTAAGCCACAAGTCCTACCTACCTATAACACCACAGAATATTTTTTCCCCAGATTGCTTGACTGAAAAATAGAAGTTATACAAAGATAATATCTGTGGTTGTCCCTGAACTCTTCCTTTTCCTACTTTATTTTTCTATTAAAACAACAACTTGACCTAAAATAACCTTACAATAACAATGCTAAATACTTTCTGGTGTATAACGGAGACAAAGTACAAGTCTGGGGTTTTTTTTCAGACACTGGCAATGAGTCAACAGACAAAAGTATATGTTTCGAATTTCAACACAGTTCTACTTAAAACTTGTATTTAAATAATGTGTGCCTGTTTGTGAAACACTGATATTATGATCTATTACTATAATTCATACTTACTTCAGTTCAAAGACAGTACAGTACACTATATTAAGGCAATGTCACTATTCTTTTCCCCAGGCAATTCTTGTTTCAGGCTTGTGGCTACTCTTATTATTGTTGCAGATAAGTTAATATGTTCTGTGCTTGTTTTGGATACCAAGTTACTACTTTGCAATAATTTGTTTATGATATGAGGTCTGGATTACAGTTACATTAATTCAAGCCAGCTAGTTCAACCAATGAACCTGGCTATGAGGAAAACAATAAGGAATGAGGAAGACCGCAAACATGACATTTATTAACTAGTCACATCTTGTTCTGTGTTTTCAATGTCATTAATCATAGATTATCTCACCAGTGTTGTCTCTGTAATTAAGGGAGTAACTTTATTTTGTGCCACTTAATATAGGAATTTGAGATCAGTGTAACAGCTTCATGGAAATCTCTCAAAGCCCTACTGATCTTTTGCCCGATAAAGCTTGGAAACAGTGGTAAAAGGCAACAAAAATCACAGTGTCACTTGAGAAAGAGCGTGAGTGAACTTTACTGTCTTGCACATGTTTGCCAAAGGAATCTAATACTCTGAGCAAATGGGCAAGCAGCAGTAGGTTCGTTCTGGGAAAAAGGTACTCCATTGAGTGCAATGGATGAAAGGCTGAGCTCACTTGCCTTTTTGTCCATCTCTGCCTTGAAAGCTAGACTATGTCATGTGCTGAATGACCATAGAATGAAATAAGATAAAGATGAGGAAAAAGAAAACCAAAACCAAAAAACCCCCCAAAGCCAAAGTGTTCCACCCACCTATGACATGTTGCACAAAAAAGAAAAGCAGTCATGTAATCCTTAAATATGAGGAGTTCATTTGTGCCTCATAGTGAACTGTGAACTTCAACTTAACTTACCGCTGAGAGTGCTATAAAGCATCTGTCCCATGTGAGTTTGTGTCCCGCAGCAGTCAAGGTCAGGTTACTGCAGTCTTAGCCTCATTTGGGACATTTCAACAGAGAAAGCAAGCCCCTCGCCTCTAAAATGCTTTGCAGCTGAGGTGCCTAGTTATCTGGCCCTGCCAAAACTGCCCAAAATAGCTGAGGTGATAACACAGGGTGAATAGCAGCAGAGTCATTGTAACTACATAAATGTGGTTTCCTTAGGAAACTCTGCTGAACAATAGACCAGGTATTTCAAAAGACTTGGGCGGAGTGCTTTCGTGTGACAGATGTCTGTTTTGCTGCAGACAATCTGAGCACGTTGGAGCTAAGATAGATGTTCAGTCAATAGGTGCAGTGCTGGGTGAGTCAGTGCCAACTTTCTCTTTATGGTTAGTAATTGTGATTTGTTGCTATCATATGCCAAGATTTGTCATTTTGGGCAGTCTAACAACTCCATAGGTGAAACTGAAGTAGAAATGCTACTTTTATTGGTGGCAAAAGCACGATTGCCTTAAAAGCCAGTATGCTTTATGGTGGTGGTGGTTTTTTTCTGCTCCTTTCCTCTGGGACAGGATATAACATTAGAGGCAGAGGCATTTTAGATACAGTGCATAAAAATGGTGGTGCTTCAAAACCAGAATCTACAAGGACAACTACTCTGCACGGGGAGCTGCCTAGGACATAGTTACAGGATTCTGCTCATGCCGAGGTCTCAGGCATCTTGCACAAAGTTATAGAGTGGTACCTCCCTTTACATGGTCTCATAACAGCAAGGGATCTTTCTTTCAAAGACAACCAGGATATCGCAGGGGTTTTATTCATTTTAGAAAAAGCTAGCAGTGGACAGGACCAAAATGCGAGAAACCTATGCTGAGTCCTTTCTTAAGGAGGAGGAGAAATTGCATCCTCTATTTTCCTTGACAGTGCTAACATCTACAGGGCCATTGGTTGCAGAGCTATAGAGTAACACCATATACCAACCTTTCTTTCTCCACACAAAGACGAACTGCTTAGAAAAGAGAAACAGCTAAAAGCATCCTATATCATATTGTCCTTGGAAGTGAGAGATTCAAACTCTTTCTTTATCATATCCAACCACACCACCACAGAGAAAAGGTGGGCTCAATTCCCTCCTTCAAATACTAAGTCTTTAAATTGATAGAGGTGGCATCAGATATTTATTATGGCATTTCTTAGCTTTTCAAATGCCTGACTCTTCCAGTTGTGAATGGTCTTTTAAAATACACATGGTTTACGTGTAGCGTTGCTGGAAGTGCACACTAGTGTAGTGCTAAACCTTTGTAACGTGCTAAAGATCATGTAATCAGGTTAGTTTCTTTTCCTCTGCAAACATAAAACTGAAAAAAAACCTGAATGATAGAGAAGAAATTATTTCTCACGTTTCTAACAACTCTTCTATTGCACTCAAAAGGCCAAACATAGGAAAACCAGGCAATGCCAGTTATAATGAATATTTTCTCCTATTTTAGAGACTTCAACACAGGTGTCATTACTAATATTAGACACTTTTCTTTATCCAGGTTGAACTAATATATATAGCAATATATTTATGCTAACTAATTACATGTCATATTAAAAAAATACATAAAGTTTACTTTTGATAAGCAACAAATTACCACAGACATTTAAATGTCCCAATTTGCTATTTTCCATTTCCAGTGCCTGAACATTTCTGGAATTGTTATTTGCCATGAATATAATAGAAATCATTCCCATATATTAATAAGTGATCTTTCTGCTCCAAATGGCATTGTTTCTGTTTTAACAAATTCACTTTACAGAAAAACTCTTCTCACAAAATATACAGAGCAGAAATATTGTTTGTTTCTCAGAACCCAGTCATTCACATTTTTATATATAGACTGCTACTGCTATGGGTGTAGCAGTCGTGGAAGGAAAAGCTCCTGTGGTATATAAAGAAACTGCAGAGTTTTCTTCCTGACCGAATCCATTTTAAATTATGAATGTGGGCAGTCTGTTTTATAGTTATATATGTCTATTTTTCACAAAAATCACTGAGAGCTATAAGACTTTTTATGCACTCATAAATCTTTAGTATCAGTTGAGTGAAATGAAGGATATGCATAAATTTAGGAAGTGAAAATGAATGATGGTATCTCCAGAACTAACCCCTGAAATCTAATTACGATTGAGTTATTTGAATTGCAATATTCAGTTCTTGGGAAAAACACAGTGGGATTTTAAGTAGCATAAAAAACCAGGGAGCTTGAACTTACAGCTCATTTTCATCAAAAGAAAAAAAAAATCATATGAAGTAGTAGTAAGACTACAAGAAAGTAAACATGCTTTAAAATACTTATTCTGCCTAGTAGTTTCCTCTTAGACATGAGAAAAAGTCATAGAAGATAAAACTGAAGAGTGTCTTACTGTTTACTTAAGACTACAGAAGCAATTCAGCAAGACAGCTAATGACATGACCCAAAATTTTACATCTCAAACACAATGAAAGTGCTAAAGACTGAGTTTTTACCTGCATGTCTGGTGATGGAATCTTTTTCCTTTTAAGAAGCATTTATTGGGAGATTCTATACATTCACAGATGCATTTTGCAGGATTTAGTGGCTGATGTTTAGGACAGGTTTTTTTACATACACACTGGCACTTATCTTCATCAAATTCCTTGTTGGGCCCACAGGATGCAGGGAGAAGTTTGTTTTTGCACAGGCACTGACATGATGATCTGTCTAATTCTTTGTGAGGTCCACAGCTTGAGGGCCGCACGCCTCCTTTGCAGACACATTGACAGGTTTCTTCATCCAGCTCTTTGTTTGGTCCACAAATATGGAATCCTTCAGACGTGTCTAGAAACACAGCAGAGAAGCTGCACAATTATCAGAATTTTGTCCCCACCCATCCCATATTTTTAAGTGAAGAAATAGTATCGAACTCATACCTTTTAAGGTGTTTTAAGAAAAACATATGTCAAAAGACAGGCAACAACTAGTAATAGAATCGATAAAGAAAAAGATTCAACTATTTACTTTTCACATTTTTAACTTTTCCTTTCAGTAAAATCAAAACATGGAACTACATTTAATTGCTTAAGCAAAACTGCTTACCAGAATCTCCAAGGTGAGAAGAGAAACCAAAATCGTGCTGTGCCAAACACCTGCAAACTTGATTATTCCAGATATGATTTTTTGGACAGGTCTTGTTTGCCACATGACACCTGTGGAATGAAATATACAGATGATTTACTACCATAAGAAGTTAAGGAAAAACAGTTATTTTAGGTGTTAATTGCTTTTGTTTCCCTCCATTACAAAACCCTGTTGAAGAGCTTGAGCTCATTCATAATCTTATTTTTAACTCCTATCAAATCTGTTAGTAATTAAGGTTCTCCCCACTACAGGAATCTTCAACCATTTGTTGAAAATACCTTCTCACATTTTAGGTTTTAGTTCTAACTTCTAGAAACTGATATTTGTACTTTTCTAATGTAGTTTGGAAACAGATCTAATGCTTGAAGGTAAGCCTCATACAGAAAACAGACCAGCATAAAAAAAATTTGCATACAAAATACTGCATAGGTGGTAAAAGACATAATTTTCTACATTTTTTGCTGTACAAAACAGTTTTCACACATATAGATGTCAAAAGACAGCTGATAGTAGTTTCTGAATGAATGCTGTAGACCAAACTCTGATTTCTGAAACAAAATTAGATTATCAGATTCCCTTCCTCTTTATGTGGAAGTTATGTGACATTAACTGACTCTTTCTCATCAGTCAATCAAATCCTGGACAGCTTTCGTGATTCTAAAGATTCAGACTTCAGCAGTGATGCCTCTTCACTTTAGAAATGAAAGACAATAAACAATTTAACAGTTTAATACTGTTTACCTGCTGGAGTTTTGCAGTCAAGGTAGTGGTTCCAAAGAAAGCAAAAAATCCTAATAGCAGTTAGTCTCTTCTTAAAGGATGACAGAACTTAACCAGCACATGCACCACAGATACAATATTTGCATATTATTTGATCTTCCTTGTTTGCAATTTCTTTATCACCACAGGTGACATTACCCCTTTTAACAAGTCATGCCTAACTTCATGCATCCAGGCTGTGTCACTTATTCCTTATTTCTGTAGTATTTCTAAAATCCTCATCCATTCAGACAGCACATACATTACACATTTTAAGCACTTTTCATTCCCCTGAGCACCATTACTCATGCATTCAAAAATGCGGGTGCTAGGACATTCTTCCATGATCATCATTCAAGTATACCACTCCCCTTCACCACATTAAATGACTCTGCTTGGAAAGACTGCTGTAATTTAACATCACCCTGCATCGCCTCATGTTTTATCAAGCTGGTGTTTCCTGATTTCATTCTGCTAATGATCTCACTCTTGCTTCCTCACTTGGCGTATATGTCCTTTTGCCTGCCTCCTGATTCTGCTTGAGGAATGCTACAGATAATTTACAGACATATTATTGCATTCTGTTAAAAAAAAACCCAACTCATGCCTGGAGCAGCCTGGGTCTAGCCAGGACTCTTAAAACTAACTACAGAAGGAAGCCAGGGTGACAGTATGAAGAAAACACCAAGTGCACATGAACCCATGAGAAGACAACATTGATACAAAACCCAAGTTACCAAACAATTTGAAGAGAATGATATGTATTTCAGCATCAGCGTTAGAGACACCCAGCAAAAGGAACTGGAACTGCTTGTTTACAAGTTCTACTCTGGTCGCTAGTATATAAAATTACCAGGTGGTGGAGGGGTTATGGCTGGAATTTTAAAATGACTTACTGTAACGTTTTAGGAAAGTTCAGGAAGGCTAGAAAAAAAATCAGAGGTAAAACCACTTCACAAAAAAATTCATTACCTTTTCCCAAATCATTGTCAACTCAACTAAAAAAAATAAAATAAAAAAACCCCAGCATGCTAACTTGTTACCTGTCAATGTCAGGACAGATAATGCACAAGAGGAAGAAACATTTACTGTGTGCGACACACATCCAAACCACATGTAAAAGACACTTATCAGCTCTGTAAGCACCTACCTACAACCCACGGGGAAAAAAGGTCATTACAGAGACTTGGACCTGAATTATGTGTATTGAAAGCCCCTCTGCTCCCCTTCCCCAAATCGCTAAACTTCTAAAATAGAGTGACAATTTTCTCAGTTGCACGTCTTGATGACATTCTATATAAACAGAGAAGAGTACAACTTAAGATACCATTAGTCCAAGAGGTATTCTGAAACAGAGGTTAACATGAATCGACATGCCTCAGCTCTGCAAGTACGAAGAGATAGCTAACACTTTTTAGGAGGGAAAAAAAGTGGGAGAACAAGCAAAGACCTAGACCTTAATTCTCAGGACTAAGTTGTGCAGAAAATATATTTTACATAAAAAAATATCAACTGTTTATATTCTATCTTACATGTCATTTCTTTCCTTTCTAACACGTGCCTGTGCATTGTGGCATAATCCAGTCTTGAATTCTTATTAGATCCCAAGTGTTACTACTCTAAACCCAGAGATTATACTCCTAGACTTTTCTTTTCAGCAATACATAAGAAAGTCATTACAATATTTCTGTTAAAATGAGCATGTACATAAATACATGCACACATGCAGATCTGCCACAGTGACAAGAAAGTACATTTCCAACTTTTGGCTTTACAACAGATTCACTCGCATTCAAACCTAGAAATAAAAATGTTAAGGAAAAACAAGAACTTGAAAAGAATTTGAGAATTTTAGTAGAAATTACAAAAAAAAAACCCAAACGGTGGCATACTGAAAAGCATCCAGGCACCCACCAGGATCATAAAAAAATATCTTTACGTTCCTTTCTAGAATCTAGAAGCACTCAGCTTGGGTTTTTGGGGACTTTTTCTATTGTCTTGTAAAAAGCCATAGATTTTAAATTTAAAGACAGTACTTAAGAGTAGCCTGTAGATATTCTGATCTAGTACTACTCTGTCTTACCTTTGTTGAAGCAGGATTCCTTACTTACAGGACAGGCAGCTACCTGGGAGTGATGGTCAAAGTCTTGTATCCGAACGCTTACTCCTCTCTATCTACAGGTAGCTGTTTCCTGGCTAGCATAAACTCTTGCAATGGTAATTATAACTGCTTTTAATCTGGAAGCACCGAGAAGCTGCCAACAGTCAGCATAATTTAACTTTATTATTGACTCTTGGATTTTGATTTTTTATAATCTGTCAATTATGCAATTAATTAAACTATTAATGGATTTATTTCCTAATTTTTTTAATCCATTGTTTAAGATCCATGTTTTGATGAACAAATTCAATAATTTGAATGCAAATAGAATATAATCTGTGTTTAGCTGGAACATGTCATAAAACATGCAGGCTTTAACTGAACGAAAACACAGAGAAAACAACCTAGCTTACACCTCTGGGCATTTTGCATTATTCCCTCACCTTATTAAAAATGTCTGCAATTAATTCTAGTTCAGCTCTTAGTCATTGGTTCTTCCATAAAGCAGTTGTTAGTTTGTTACATATTTTCAGCCTACTAAATTCTTATACATGATGAAATCACCACTCCTCAAAAATGAAAGGAAGGAGTTCTTCAAGTGTTTTAATAATACTTGCTTCACTATCAGATTTATTCTCTTTTTTTTTTTTTTTCATTCAAAATCACCAAACAAATTAACATGCTAAGTCTGCGGATTGTTAATTAACCTTATTTCCCCTTCCCATTCTGGGTTTTTTTTTCACTTCTGGCATATGAAGATGTCCAAAAAAAGATTTGTAGTCAAAGATTCCCTAAAAACAGGCCTTTTTTTTTTTTTAAACAGTTTTTTAAATAGAAAAATACAGTTTGAGAGAAAAATGTTGTCTACTCCTTACTTGCAAAAGTAAGTATTTTTGGACAGCTTTCACGATTAATATTTTTTTAAAAGTTGATTTTATTGATGCTTCCTTTAAGCCTCAATTGCATTGTAGTTCTTTCCACGAAACAAACCCCACAAACAACATTTTTCTTCATTTTTAAATGACCTAGCCCCAGTTTATCTACCGGCTAAAAAGGTACTGTGCTAATTACTTTAGTAACATTCTCTCCACATAAAATAGTATTAGCTCCTTTGCAAAATGCATTCTGCTACTACTAATATATTTAAGTTCACCTATCTTAATTGTCAAAGCTTCCGGCAATATTTTAAATCTAATTACATAGGCTTGCTCATAATGTGAACGGAACGACAAGCCTCATACTTACTGAGTTTGTGTTGCTGGCAAGGAACGTCTGATGATAGAATGAACTTGTCTGTAAACATCCAACTTCGACATGCATCGGCAGGACGTGTGATTGGCAAAACTGACGGTTACAGGTTTGGGGCCGTGAGAGAGAGGCACTGTGATCTCAAATAACTATAAAAGGGAAAGCAAAGAACTTTTTTTAATAGATCAGCAACAGTACAACCGAAAATAATAGAAGGACATACAAAAAAAGTTATAAGGAATTTCAGTTTCGGTTTTTGTTCTCTACCGTCATTCAGCAGCATATTCAATTATACCGCTAAATAATCATTATGTGCAAAATGAATAAAATAGCATTTTTAGTGTTAAACCCTGTTACGTGCCTGTTTGCTTAGTATAACATTTAAACTCCTGTTGAAAGAGGAAAACATACAAAGAACTCGTTTTTCTAGAGGAAATTACTTCAAATTGGCAGCCTTTTAAAAAATCTAAAATGTAACATTTGGAAGGTGCTTCAAAAAGTTGAAAAATGATAATAAAGGGGGTAAGCTACAACCTAATACATCAGTTGCACAATTACAAAAGCTTGTGTAAAATAGCAATATATTGGACTTGGATCAAAACATTTTTGGATGATCAAGTTTTGAACTGCAGCATACTGTATTTTTGACTTTCCAGTATTCATATCAATGTAAATTATATGGTTACCCTAATCGAATGCATATGGAACTATTAATATTTTCTAGGATATTAAGAAATATTAACTATTAATAAAATAATCACGTTTATGAATGAATAAAATCCCAATTTTAGTGGGAAACATAGTTCAACTGGTTGAAGAGGACAACTTCAGCAATACCTTGTGGAAAAACTGAACACGTGACAACAAACAGGGAGAATCATTTCAGTGTTCAATTCAGACACCTACTGCATCAAATTAAGAAAGTTTCACTGTAAGACTCAAATCCCAATAGTCTCCTGAAAAGTTAGGATAAATACTTCAGTTCAAAGTCTTAAAAACTCTTTTTTGGTAGTATTTTTAATAGGATAATAGTGTATTGTTGCCTTTTAGGTGTTTTGTCACTTTTCCAAATATATTTAAGAATATTTCTGCATCTTTTGGGGACTTTTCTACCTTTAAGAACATGGTCATAGGTTATTATTCCAGTTTCAGTGGATGAGACTGTGTTACAAGACTTTAATTTGTATCTGAAATCTATCTGCAATGCTTTTTTACAATCAATAACTTTATAGCATGGCATATAGGCAGCACACAAGTGGCATGAAAATACTGGTAATTTTAAATGATTAAAAATATGAAGTACATCTACAGGATGTCCTGCAAACAGTATCTTGCACTGAAGTACACAAGCGCGCCTGGGTACTGACAAGGATGTGGGTGCAGCAGTATGGGATGTATTCACCAAGTACCCACAAGGTGCAGCCAACAATAAAGCTCATAGTATTGATATACCCAAACTACGTAACTTAAACCTAAATTGTATAAAACATCATCAACTCTGGCAGATATTATCGATTTCACAAAACAAATTTTGACATCATTTAGTGACTGGATCTTTAAAAAAGTTTAACATTGGGAGTGTCATCATACAAGAACTGAAATAGCAAAAGGATTATATTTGCATTATATTCTGTTAGAGAAGATTACAATGCTGTTATTTTTGCTGCAAAAAGCACCACATTCCTTATAGTAGTTTTAAATTTGGGGGTTCTTCCCCACTAGAATCTAAAAATGCAAACTGATACATGTTTACTTCTGCAGAAGGAAAACCCAAACAGAAAATAGTTTCCTGCATCTTTCAAATATTGATCACAAAAACTCTATCCATCTAGAGAGCTACCATGAAAAGAGTTTCTCTCGTTAGACAGACTTCTAGCCAAAGCATATTAACATTTGGATTCTCGCTCCAGCTGCAAAATAACAGTTCATAACATTTTGGTCTTGAGTCATTAATAAGGGCACAAGTCCACATCTAGTTTAAAGTTTGATACCAGTAAAATGGATGCCTAATCATCACCGGACACACCTCCAGGGTTTTCACTAAGTTCAACATAGACTTCTGGAAAGATTCTTTCTAATCAACTTCTTATTATACTCATAATCCTTTTTGGCTTCCAAACCAACATTGGCTCCTTTACCCTTATCTATTATAAAAGTTCCTTTAAATTAATCACAAAAGGCATTCTTACCAAGATGCCTCATCCACAAAGAGCAATAATCATAACACAGAGCTATCACTTTCATACCAATGTGTTGTATGAAAATAGCTTTATGTACTTATTAATTTCTTTTAAAAATATCCACCTCTTTGAAGGCCATCATAGGTTTTGTTACAATGCACAAACTAAGAAATTGGAGAGAAGGAAGGTGTGTTGCAGACAAAGAGACAGAAAGGATTGTGTTTATGAAAAATAGTTTTCATTTCTGCATACAGTACACATTTGAGAAAACACATGCTGAGTTCTTTGGGTATCTTTTTAAAATATTGATCTTAATCAGATGACAAAATTCACGTACATATGCAAGACTTGTACCTTTTTTTAAACAAGTTGTGCTTTGAGAAGGACAGCACGACTGTTGAGACCTCTGAAAATCTGGACAGCTAAGAAGCTACAGATGCAAAAGCCTTTACTGTATTAAATATCTCATAAAAAAACTGATTCTTAAAAGGCCTATATGAATTAAAGGGCAGAACAAAGAGTACGGACTTAATTACAATATTATACATGTAAAGAGAATCTTGTTTTCTCTGCTGTTATGACAGCGTGAGCTTGCTTGTCTGAAGCTGAAGTAAAAACCCGCTATAGGGAGAACTGATAAAACTTAGAAACTGAAGATAAGTATGATTCTTTGCATGGACCAAACTGCAGCTGACTAGAAAAAAAGCGCATGTTCTGTTCTTCCTCTGTTCTTGGAGTACATCAGTTTGCCATGCTGCAGAGCGTAGCAGACTCCAGACCGCTAGAGATGGCAGTGTAGGATTATTGATGCAATTCCAAACCACCTAAAAGAGGTCCCCGTCAGTCCAACTGTTCTCCTGTTCGGCTTCCCAAGGGCACTGAGAGAAATTTCACTT